CGGAGATAAGAGTTGTTGCAACAACGGTTGATGCTGTTGTTGTTGTTGAGGAGGTGCTTGGATGGGCAACAATGTTGAATGATTTTGCCACAAGAATGGTTGAAACTGTAACGCTTGTTGAGGTTGTTGAATAACCGGTATAGAGTAGTTGTTTACGAATGTTGAGATGTTGTTGTTGTTGTCAAAAAGGTTGTTGTTGTTAAGTTGTTGCTGTTGTAAGAACATATTGGGGGGTGCTGGGAGAAAGCCAGGCAGACCACATTGATGCACGCACGAACAAATTGGCCTGCAATATGTTGTTGTTGTTGATGATGATGCAGTTGGTGATAGTGTTGTTGTTGTTGTTACTGTTGAAAGAACAACTGTTGTTGCTACTAATGCCGTCGTTAGGTCTGTTGACGATGATGACGTGGTCCTTGGTGAGAGTACAACTGTTGGTATTGTTGTTGACGTTGTTGTTGTTGTAGTTGTGGATATTGTTGTGGATGCCGTTTTCGATCCTACTGCTGGTGTACATGAAGTAATAGCATCAGAAAAATCCTCCATACTGGAACTCTTCACGGGTGCCACTTTGTGAGATTTCGCCACTACTGTGTGTGTAATAACGTTTGCCGAATCATTTAGCATTGCATTCGATCCAGTTTTTGTGTCAGCTGTTAACACGCGCTGTCGTCGTGCCAATGTCGATGATGTAGAGTTATTAGTAGCGACATTCTTCTTGGTCTCGTTAAACGTTATTAAGGATCTAGGTTCTGGATTTAAACCGTTGTCGTTGTTGTAAGTTGTTGCTGTTACATTGCTGTTAAGTGTTGTTGTTGCTGCTATGATGTTGATGTTTTTATCACGTGTAGTAGTTGCTGTTGTTGGCATGATCAAGCTAGCAAAATCGATGAAGTCGTTATTTTGGGATAGGAATGCAGGTAGTAGATTAGTTTTAGTCACCGAGTCCGTCTTGCTTAGGTAGATTCCGACAATTTTATCGTCAGTTCCGATTTTGCAGCTGCTGCTGCTACTGCTACGGCCGTCTCTGCTGCTGTTGTCGTTGCCAAAATCTGATGAGCCGCTGTAGTTGTTGGCACTCCTTAAGTCAGGATCGACGAAAACATCAACGCCTATGTCAACCGTTGTTATATTTTTTCTTGCACCTCGTGAGAAATTTTTCACGCCAGCTGAAGCGTTGGTACCGTTATTATTATCGTTATTATTATTATTATTATTATTATTAGTAGTAGTAGTGGTAGTATTAGTAGTAGTATTTTGTTCTGCAATAGGAAAACTATTACTTTCACCATCATCACGGTCATCATCATCAGTCATCATATCATGATTGTTATCAGTAGCCGATGCGTTGTTTTCATTATTATGATCATCGCCAAAACTCTTCATGACGTCATCACAATGACGTAGGGATGATGACGTCATTTTTGTCGTTACTGATGATGATGGTGGTGGTGATTTTCCAGTAAAACTTTGCAGCATGTCTCTAGACGCTGTTGACATTTTAACTGAGGAGGAAGATGATGATGATGATAATGATGACGAAAACAACAATGATGATGATGATGATGACGACGATGCAGATGAAGATGATGATGACGATGATGATTTTCCCATAGAGTTTTTAATGATGTCACTAAACGGGACAGTGATAATCTTCTGGTTGTTCAACTCCCTTAAGATAGACGATATAAGTTTCTGGAAGTGGAGGCGTAAAAAAAACGAATTTCCTCATAATAAATAATTGATTGTTAATTAATATAATTATGTTATAACTATAATATTTATTAATGAAATTATAACTACAGTGAACAATAATACTATATTTATAAAAACTATGACAAACACTAATGATTTAGTTACAATTATTATCACAAAAAAATCATAAAAAAGTTTAATAATTATATATTATATATATTAAATTAAATAAATATATATATATATAACTATATATATATATATATATATATATATATATTAATTACAGTTAATAATAACACAAATACTGGAAGCAAGTACATACACTTTTTTTCCTGACGGGTCCATCATTTTCTCCACCACCATCACCCCCGCCCGCACCACCACCACCACAGTTATAACCCTCGTTACCATCGCCCCCAGCAATCGATATATCACCATTTGCGTCAACATTTTTTACCACCTTTCTCGGCCTGCCTCTTTTCCTTTTAACAGGCACATCCCTATTATTATTATTGTTGTTGTCGCTATTATTATTCTTATTGTTATCCTTGTTAATGTAAAAATAATAATTATTATTAGTAGTAGTAGCAGTACTGGAAGTGACAGCAGTAGCAGCAGTTTTAGAAAGGCCAATATTCAGTAAATTTGGAGAAGCCAACGTTCTATTTTTAGTATCAGCTGTACACGTTGTAGTAGTTGTCGTTGTTAGCATGTCTTTGGGTTTTTCCAAAACTTTCATATCGTTTGGAAGGAATGGCTGTTTTAGCATTGGAGACTGAGACAGTTGCATTGTTGTTGCTGTGTTCATAAATTTTTCTGGGAACTCTCGTTGATAAGCTGTGCTGCAGTTGCTGCTGATGTTGTTGTTACAGCTACTGCTGTCAACTTTTCCAAACATTTTGTAGCCATTTTTTTCAAAAATGTTGCTATCCATACCAAAAATTTTGCTACTACCATTTTTACTGCTGTAGTTGTTATTATTAGTGTAGTTGTAGTTGCTGTTATTGTAGTTGTAGTTGCTGTTAGTGTAGTTGTAGTTGCTGTTATTGTAGTTGTAGTTGCTGTTATTGTAGTTGCTGTGGCTGCTATTGTAGTGGTTGGGTCTGTTTGGGATATTTTTGCTGAAAAAGCCGGCCTCAAAGTCATCCTCATCATCAACAAATATATTGTAACTCTGGTCTTTATGCTAAGAGATGGTTAGAAGAATGGGTTAAAATTATTTGATTATAATTTTTATTATGCCAACTATAATTACAACAATTATTAATGTTGTCAAGAATTTTATTACGCTAACTATAAGTATAACAATTATTATTAATAAAAACATTATCACTTTCCAACCTCAATGTAAAAATGATTAGCCATCTTGAATAGGGTAACGTCATCAGTGCTTATGTGTGGAAAGGCTATATCACCATCATCATGATTCTTATTATTATTATTACGAATATTATTATTATAAATACTATTATCATAAATATTATTATTATTATAATTATTATTACAAATATTATTATTATTATTACGACGATGACTACGAAGACTATGATGAGTGCCATCATCAGCTGGGAGAGCATTATTATCGTATTCGTCTTTCCCTGCCTTGTTGCCTGCTCGTCTGTCAACTGCAGATAAATTAAGAAATGTCACTTACAATTTTCGTTCTTATTTATATAATAATTATTATTCATTATTATTTATTATTATTTATTATTAATATTTTAAAATATATCATCGTCATTTTTAAATAAATTGATAATAATAAATGAAAGATTAATGTGGGAAGAATCTTACATTTGATGTACTTCTGTATAAAATGTTTCACCTCTTTGGAGCGGAGCTTCTTGTAGAAACCTTTTGTTGTTGATGTTGTTGTTGTTACTGATGTTGCTGTTGATGTTACTGATGTTGCTGTTGATGTTACTGAAGTTGCTGTTGATGTTGCAGACGTTGTTGCTGTTGATTTTGCAGACGTTGTTGTTGTTGATGTTACTGATGTTGTTGTTGACGTTACAGATGTTGTTGCAGTTGCAGATGTTGTTTTTGTTGACGGTACTGATGTTGTTGTTGTTGTTGACGTTGTCGTTGATGTTTTAGCTGTTGTTTCGTTACAGTTGTTGCTTTGTTTGCTGGTGCTAAAAATAGCCACGTTGTTGTTGTGCAGCGTGTTAAATGGTTTGCCATTGCTTCTAATGTTTTTGTCACAGATGATGTTGTTTATGTCGTTGTTGCTGTTGTGATTTATAAATTTTTTGTTGTTGTTTGCGCTGTTATTGTCAATAAATAAGGCACTGTTATTTATCAAATTACTTTTATTATTATCATCATTATTCAAGCTGCTATAACCGTTGTTGTTGTTGTTGCTGAATGTTGAAATTTTATCCTTCACAGGTCTAGAACTTTTGTAATTGTTGTTTCGGCCATTGTAAACAACGCCATTTGCAGTCTTGGAAGTAGTAGTAATTGCAGTACCATTACTACTATTAGTCGTAATAGTAGTTGTGGTGTTAGTAGCAGTAGTAGTACTACTAGAGATAGTAGTAGTAGTAGTAGTAGTCGTAATAGTAGTAGTAGTACTGTGATTAGTATGACAATTAGTTAAAGTAGTAGAGGCTGCAGTACTAGCAAGAATGCTGGCCACGTTAATATTACAATTACTACTATTGCTACTACTACTACTACTACTACTACTATCATTAGGCTGATCATCAGTGAAACTGTAACTTGAAATTCTATTACTTTTATTACTATAAAATTTATTATTATTATAACTCATTTTATTATTATTATTCATTTTATTATTATTATTGTTATTATTGTTGTTGTTATTATTATTATTATTATTATTGTTGTTATTGCTATTATTATTATTGTTATTGATTAAGCTTTCATGAGTGGGGCAGTTAGTTTTATCATCAAATTTTACTATCTTCATATCTGTGTTACACTTTCTATCTGTACTTCTATTACTATTACTATTATTGTTGTTATTATTATTATCATTGTTATTATTATTATTATTATTATTTCTTTTATTAGTCGTAGTATTTCTGTTAATGATGCTGGCTTCGATAGCTGAAGTATAGTCGTCATCGTCGTTGCTGTTGTTGTTGTTGTTGTTGTCAGATGAGAATATGCTGACAACAACGTCAACATTTTTGCTGTTGATGTTATTCTTGTTACTAATGTTATTGTTTTTCTTGTTATTAATGTTATTGTTATTATTATTATTATTATTAATGCCACAAGTTGTGGTAGTAGTAGTAGTAGTAGTAGTATTCAGTGTAGTAGTAGTAGTAGTAGTAGTAGCCTTAGCAGCAGCAGCAGCAATAGTATTAGTAGTGTGGATTTTATGGTATTTTAATGGATTTGGAAAATTATTGTTAGGAGATCCAGATGATGATGATGAAGACGACGACGATGATGAACATGAAGATGATGACGACGATGATGATAATGACGACTTATGTGATCTAAGGATAAATGGCGACGACGATGATGATGATAGTGGTGATGATAATAATCTCGAAGTTCTCCTCGTTATCATCTTGTCATGTGCAATGATACAATTTGTTGGTGGTGATGTTGTTGTTGTTGTTGTTGCTGTTGCTGCAAAAGATCTTTTCTTAGGAAGTTTCAATGAAGAGCCAGCAATTGGTGCTTTGGAAGTTGATGATATTGTTGTTGATGTTTTTGTTGTTGATGTTAATAATGTTGTTGGTGTTGCCGTAACTGTTGATGTTGCTGCAACTGTTGATGTTGATGACAATGGCATTAATTTTGTTGCTGGCACTACTGATGTTATAGATGACGTCATTCTTAATGACGTCATTAATGAGGCTGTTGTTGTTGTTGTTGCTTGTCTTGCTGTCATCATCACTGCTGATGGCAGTGTTGTTGATGTTATAAATGATGATGTCAACGTTTTTGGCAATATTAAACATGTTGTTGTTGTTGTTGAGTTTGATGTTGATGCTATTTTAGTTGCTGTCGTTGATGCCACTGCTACAAATTTGGGTGTTGTTGTCGTCATAGAGATGACATTATCTGGTCTTACTGATGACATCATCATCATTGTTGTTGTTGTTGCTGGTTGTAGCAATGATGGTGATGATATTGAAGAAGATAATGAGAATGATGACGACAATGATGATGAAAAAGAAGAAGATGCTGCTGCTGATGATGATGCGAATGGTGGTGTTGATGTTAAAAATGATGATATGGATGAGAGAGTTACTGGAGATGATGATAATAATGCATTCAACGACGACGATGATGATAGAGGTATGATCATTTGAGTCATATTCAGTGCATGCAAATTTGTTGATATTGTAGGTGTTGTTGTTGATGTCTTTGATGTTGTTGTTGATGTCTTTGTTGTTGTTGATGTCTTTGAAGTCGTTGTAGTTGCTAATGTTACTGGTGTTGTTGTTTGACAAGCTGTTATCAACGGTGTTGATGACTGTGTAGAAGTATTTCTGGTTTGAACATTCACTGGACACAATGATGATGAAGATAATGATGACAATGATAATGAAGATGATGATGACAACGATAATGAAGATGTTAGTGTAGCATAACACATACTAGTAGTAGTAGTAGTAGTAGAAGTAGTAATGGTGGTATTAATAGTTGTAGTTGTAGTATCAGTGGTAGAAGTAGTAGCTGCATTAGACACAGTAGTGGTTGCAACAGTGAATGATGGTGATGATGATGACGGCAGAAATGATGACGATGATAACGATGAAGATAACAACGATGATGATGATGATGACGACGAAAAAGATGATGATGATGAAGATGACATCAACAAAGATGACAACGATGATGTGTTTGATAATGATGGAGCGGCTACTGTTGCAAATGAAGTTGATAAGGATGATGATGAAGGCTTGAGTAAGGATGGTAACAATGAGAGTGATGATGAAGATGATGACGACGATGATGATGACGACGATGATGGTGCAGATGATGATGATGACGACAGCGTAGTTGTTGATTTAGGAATGAAATCACTATTTATCAGGCTATCAAAGCAACCAAATAAATTTAAAACTCTACTATTATTATTATTACTAATATTATTATTATTATTACTGTTTATATTATTTTTGTTATTATTTATGGCAAATCTATTTGCGCATTCCATTTTATTAGTTATAATAGTGGTGTTGTTGTTGTTAATATTATTGACTATTTTATTATTATTGTTGTTAGCTAATTTATTATTATTATTATTATTCTCTTTATTTCTCTCATTAATATTCTTCAGCAAGAGCATAACATCATCATAATCAGCACTACCACCATCGTCGTCGTCATCGTCATCATCACCATCGTTGCTATCTTCAGCATGGTTATCAAACCCATTTGTGATATAATTATCATTATTATTATTACATTTATTATTAACATTATTATTAATATTATTATTTATATTATTATTATTATTATTATTTATATTATCATCATCATCCTCTTCATCATCATCACCATCATTGAGGATGTTTATGATAGACGTATCGAAACAATTATAGCTCGTAGGAGTTTCGATTTTTATTCTAAGTTTACTTTTAGTGCCACTGTTGCTGTGATTATTATTATTGTTGTTGTTGTTTTTCTTCGGGGTGAAGTTGTTGCGGCTGTTGTTGTCCTCGTCGTCGTCATTGGCCCTATCCCCGTCATCTTCCCTGATTAAGCTAGTGACAGTTATTATGGTTGACGGTATGTCAACTGACGACATTTTTTTTTTCAATTTCTTTCCTGTAAAGATTGAGAATTAAGTGTATTACAAAACAATTTAATTACCAAATAGTAAATATATAGTATAGTTACAATAGCTTAGTAATGAAAGATTAACGTAATGTTTAACATTATTTTTAAAAAATAAAACAAAAGTCCTGAAACCAATAACATTACATATTTTCATGTTGAGTTAAAACAATACACTAATTAAAATTAAACAACAAAATAATTAGCTAAATTTTAATCAATCATCATTAATTTAATAATAATATTAACAAGAGATATGTTTTAACTTTTAATAAATAAAATAAAAAAAGTTAATGTTCAGTTAAATGAACAATGAATGAATGAATCACACAAAATTTTAAAGATATATCTCAATATATCACACCATCACATCCTATATATATAATAAATAAAATATATAGATATATAATTATAAAAATATGCAATTGAATATGCTACAGCTCTAAAAAAGCCTTAACTTTTAACATCACTCTCACCAATAAAAGCTTACATAATTATTATGTAATCTATTTCTGGACAGCTCTCTAGACGGCGGACTTAATTAGGCATAATATGAAAGTTACGTAACAAAAGTGATCATTAACATGGATTATTACGCAACTCTCTTTAGCAGCAAGCGACCGCCTGATCGGAACTCTGACCATATCTTATCCATAGTTAGCACAAGAAATATTTTAATATGGTTACTTTACAAATTTTCATAATCATTTAAAAAATAAGTTAAATAAATAAATAACTAAAGTTTACCTGTTAAATTTATTATAGGAAAATAAAATATTTAATTTATTTAAAAAAAAAACTTTCGCTAACACAATTTTCTCGATCAAGAATTTTCGCGTACTTGTTTACATTTTCATGCCATTAACAGTCTTTGGCGGTAACAAATTTTTATTTTAAATGTTATCTATAGTAGATAATACGGATTTGTCATTTTTTTTCATTTTTTAATGAATTTTAATTAAAACTTTTTAATGATTTAAACAATCACAATTTTTATTTATTTATATTTATATTTTTTTCAATTTAATGTCAACTTATTCAAAATTAGTTTGCTCTGAAACCGACACAATTTACCGACAAAAAGCTACACATTGCCGTTCTATCCGCATTTACCTTTTAATCTAATTTTAAACTGGTGCCACCGCTATTTATTATGGTTAAAAAGTATCTACCGTTAGCTTTTTTATCCATAATTTCAGCAAGTTAGGCATTTATTGCTTCAACCTGAAAAAAAATTAATCTAAAATCTAAATTAATGAAATTTATAAATCGATCTCCAGGCTTGGCGTATTATCTTTGGAACAGAAGACGAAAATCTGATTTTTTTAGGCCAAAAATCATAAAAATCATCAAGAGTTCATCAAATTGGAATGATATTTTTCCTGATGTAGAAAGAGATTTAAAGGAATATTCAGTAGGTTTAAAGAATTTTTAGATATCTTCAGTAAGGTATAATATGGTATTATACAACATACTTATAGTATAAATAAGTCTTATACTAAGTATACTATAATATACTATAGAATAGAGTCTATTAATATAGATTTAAAATAAATTTATATTTCTACTATTCATACATTTAATTAATATATTTATTTTTATATTAATATTATGTATTATGAATTATAAATAATTTATGACATACTATATAATTATAATATTATGATTATCTCTCTATACTGTAAATAGCTATATTAGTATATATTATATCATTGTTATTCATTTTTATTTTTTAACCAAAAAACAGGTTTTAGGATTTGATTGTGAATGGTGTAACAATGGAGATGAAGTTAGGCCGATATCGTTAATTCAACTTTCAACATCTTCAGGCCTCTGCCTGCTTATTAGGATTAAGATCCTTCTTGACAAGGAAAATGTTTTTCCACAAAGTTTAGCTGATATTTTGAGAGATAAAAGGTAGTTTTATGTTTCTGTTGTAATTTTCATGATAATAAGTGGCGTTGTTATTATTGTTGTGGTTATCAATATGCTTTTTGTAGTTTTGTTATTATGATGAGATTTTTCATTGTTATTTTAAAAAATATATATACCAGTTACATGGTCTGTATTGTTGAAATTTACGTCCTGAGTTATTTATTCTTTGTTATTATTGTTTTTTGTTGAAATATATTTTTTCATGCATATTTTGCATTCACTTTTACTCACACCATAGAATATTAAAAGTCGGAGTGGCCAGTATTGAGGATGGACAGAAACTGCATAGAGATTACAACATAGAATGCAAAGGCTGCCTAGATCTGAGATATGTTGTTCTCAGATGTCGTTTGGCAAAGATTAGGTGATATAAAAATTTTATACTGGTGATAATTCTGATAACGATGGTAATAATTGTAAAAATAAAAATGATCAGTATATATATTTGTACTCATATATATATATATATATATATATATATATATATATATATATATATAGTCCAGGTGGCCTAAAGTACCTTTCAAAAGCAGTGTTGGGCATAGATCTATCTAAGAACATTAGAATTAGGTGTGGGAATTGGGAGAGTGATGAATTGAATGATGAGCAGGTGGTAAATTTTTAATCTGTTATTTATAATTTATTATAATAATTATTATTATTTAATTATAATAATTGTAGTAGTGGTAATTTTTTGCTTATTTATTGTTGCCCATTTTGACTCATTCATTGTTGATTTTTTTTGTTTAATTTTTTTATGCCCAGACGTTGAATGAAGTGTTTTGACTGTATGGCATATTGTATTATTATTAACTATAATTTATTAATTATTTCATTATTATTAATTATAATATAATAATTATTTAAATTTTTCCCATGTCTGACAGATATTCTATGCAGCCATGGACAGTTTGGTGTCAATAAAAATATTTCAAAAACTTGTCGACTTGCAATATTCTCACAATAAAGAGATAGCTAACATTAGTAATAGGATTAAGAATGATGATGATGATGATGATGACGATGATGATAATAAATTAACAGCGTCAACTTTGAACTGTGATGAAATAAGTAATGCACCAGCAACAATGCATCAATTGACAAACCAACCAACAGCCAACAACCTAATCTTAAAAAACACCGCATCGTCCAACAATTATACAAAGATATGTCAGGGAATAGTTGACATCAAATATAAAAACAAAGCAGAGAACAAATTTAAAATTTTTCAAAACTGTCACATCACTAATTCCAGACGGGATGATCCTCCTAATTTTAAGGAAGCAAAACCGACTAGGGCGTACAATGTACGCAAAGAACCTTTATATCAGAACTGTAAATTATTTTCAAATGACGGTCAGCTACTATGTACTTGCGATGAGAAAAAAGCTTTGTGGTACATAGATAAGAAGATTGGAGGTTGATAATTATACCATAAATAATTGCGTCATAATAATTTCTCAATTATTATTTTTATAATTACTAATCCCGGGCCAGAAAAAATATCCGACAATCCATTGACAGTGAAGTTGTTGTTTGAGCCAGCCGGTCGGCCGACCAGTGAATCGGATTATTATTTACAGGAAAAGGACAACAGATGCGTCGTGTGTGGTCTGCCTGAATCTTACATTAGGAAAAATATTATTCCACATGAGTACAGGAAGTTGGGCAATTTTTCTTTATAAGTTGAAAAATTAATTAAAACAATCAAAAAATGATGATGGTGATAACATTATTGTAGCTTTTTTTAGTGGTATTGTTAGTTATTTTCTTCTATAAGTTACTCTTAAATGTTAAAAATAGTGTTTTTAAGTTCACGTATATAAACATGCGGGGATTACTTTGAATTTGAATCCAGCCACTTCAACTCTAAACTAGGCACATTTCATCATCTTATACCCAACATTAATCACTGACTAACACACACACATGCACATACACACACGATCATTCAGACACACACACATACGATTTGACAGACACTTTCCAGTCATATTTAAAGAGCACAAGTCACATGACGTCGTCCTACTATGTAGTAAATGTCACTTGATAAGCAACCAATACGATTCCCGTGTTAAATTTTCACTGGCTAGAAAGTATGATGCCACTATTAGGTCAGATAAGTATGTCAGTTCAGCAGCTACTACAAAAGTTAAGTCAGCTGCAAAGTATGGGGGTTATTTTAAGTTATTTTTCCATTTATCTTGCATATTTTTAATTCATTCATATGTTTATTTATCAAATAAATTAGATGATTGGATAAATTATGTAGCTTTGTAACTTTGGAAAGTGTCTTTAAAATTAAGTTCTATCATTTTTTCCCCTATTAAATTGATTCCTCAGAGCCTTTTATAAATCTGTCATTAAGTGAACTTGATATTTTAATAACTTCCATAATTCAAGCCTAAATTTGGTTATTTTAATAATGTTCTATATTTATTGATCAATGAATAAAATTTGTAACTTTGAAAATATTTTTCAATCAAACTTAATAATTTCTTTCTCCATTCATTTGTCTCACCAGAGCCCTGTATAATGACCGTGGGCACGACAAGATACCGACACAACGTCAGCAAGAGTTGAGGAATTGCTTAAAAGAATATTTTAAAGTTGACGAGTTTTATGATGAACTGGTTGATAGGGGTTTTTCGTTAGATGTTGAGTAAGTTTATTTTTTTATTTTTCTGTTATTTCAGCTTAATTTATTATATTTCAATTAAAAACTGTGTGTATTAAGGTTATTTCAAGTAATTTTTAAATATATTTCAAAAATAAGACCTTCGACAAAATTTTTTATCTAGGAAACAAATTAATGAAAACTTTGAAGAGCATGGTTTGAAAGTGACAAGATCTGTCATAGCGGAAAATGGATTGATTAAATTTGAGAGAATGTGGAGGCAACATTTTTTGGACTCCATGAAACCTGCCTACATGCCTAATTTGTGGTCTGTTAATCATGGACACGATAGACTTCTACGGATATTACCGCAACAGCAGTTCCTTGAAAATTATAAAAATGTGAATTAATGAGTCATCCGTACTCTCTGAACATTCGTTTTGCCTTGATTGAAGATTCATTTAAATAAATCTAATGAGTTTTGATAGAAAAGTTCACATATATATGTATATGTTGGTAATAATTAGGAATGTATATATATGATACAGATAGAATGGTTTATAATGCTTATTTTTGTGTGTTAATATTAATAGTCTTTTTTGATGACTAAAGAACTTGCATTTTCCGTAATGGCGTCTGCCGATCTGGATAATATTTTTACCCTAATTGAGTCATCGGAAAAATTAGTCGAAGCTAAAAAAAGAGAATTAGTCGACGGTTGGCCGTTTTAAATTTCCATAGCTACATATTTTCTTTTGGATTTTTTTGTCTTTAATCTAACTTCAAATTATCAAGGCAATTTCAATGTTTTATTTTTTGATTCAACATGTTTTAATTTTTCAATTTAGTTAGACTGTTAGTGTTAGATGAGTGGAAACGAGAAATTTTATTTTGCAATAAGTTTTTGAACGTTAAACGTTTTTATTAATGCAAATATTTTTCCGTTAATCAAGTTATTCAAAAAAGAAGTTTGTGCAACGAAAACCTCAGGAAGATTAGACAAGAAAATGCTGAAAAAGCTTCCAAATTGAAAAGCTTGGTAAATTAAATATTAATATAACATATTGCTAATTTTTTAATATTTTTCAAATTTTAATTTTCTTACGTTATAACAATAATTCTTTTAAATTTGATTCAGCAAAAGGAACTTGTAATGTTGAAATGTAATAGCAATTATTTAGACACACAGCTGCAAGTTTTTAATGAACAAATAAATGCCTTGAACACAAATTTGGAAACCTCTAGGAGAAACTTAGTGTGTGAAGTTTTGTAATTTACATTGTCAATTCAACTTTTAATAATGCAATTTAAATTATTGATTTGTCCTAAAAAACATTTTGGCGTAGTTTGGGTTCTGTATTTTTTTTTAGGAATTAACAGAAAGGGCAATAGAGGATGAGAAAAATGAATTTTTTGTATCTGTTGAGTCATTTTTGTCCAAGTTTGATATATCAGGTGAAGGAATAAGAGTCCGGAGGAAAGAGTTAAAGGAAAAATCAGTACAGATGCAAGCTGAAAAATCAAAATTGATTATTGGTTAGGCGTATCCGTATAACTACTCTTTTATGTTGCATTGTATTGTTCTTTTTCTTAAATAAATTTAATTGAATCTTGTTTCAATCTTTCTAGAAATTGATCAGTTAGAAACTGTTCATGAGAAGGTACTTCACCTCAAAGGTATTTTACAAATCTCTGATTAAGTAATCTGCAGCATTTAAGAATTTTAATTAATTTCAATTAGAATTGCAAGCCAAGTACGAATTTAAAATCAGTGAGACTAAAAGACTTGAAGCTCTAAAAGATGAGTTAACAAAATTTCCTGACAATGACTCTGATTTTAAAAGGTCTCTTTTTTTGTCAAAGGTTTTATTATTTAAATTATTTAAAGCAAATCTCATTTTTTATCCAGAATATCTAATAACTTGAAAGCTTTGAGAGAGAAAGACATCAAAGGATTATGTGAAAATTTGGCAAAAGATTTGGAATGCTTGGAATTGCAATATAATCTCTACTATCCATTTTTAGGTGATTAGCTCCTGGATATGGTTTCTAATTTTGTTAACCTTTTGTAAAATGTCTTAGTTCTGCAATGAGGTATAATTATGTAGTGTTGTCACGTGTCAAATGTTCACATAGTTTGTTACACCCAGAGATTCAAAAGTTGCGCAGAATTTAAATAAAATAAATCGCTTTTTTGACGGTGTTCTTTTATATTGTGACTATCGTCAACTGAATCTACACTATTTTGTTAGTTATTGTTGTGGCCATTAACGTTCGTAACTACTGACATCAATATAACTTCAAAGATCTCTATATTTCCAACACCGGTGTTGTAGCTTCCAACGATTGTCAACTGTTCGTTATTCCGTTGGTTCAATATTTAGATTTCCGATAGATGAACACAACTGCTTCAAACGCAAACTTTGGTGAACGTTTATTTGAATGCCAACAGTAATAGAAGCTCTAAACTAATCCAGGCAACTGCATAAATCACATTTACAACCTCGCTGGAAACATGGCCTTCTTTGCTATAGATTTGATTTTTTTTTACAATCCTCTATGGTTTGCATTCCAAAAATTACAAATATAACAAAGTTAATAATTATGATAAATGATTTTGAGCAATTTGATCGTTCCGTCGGTCATAACATTATGATAGAAGTGTGACGTCAATGTTTCGTTTGTCCGCAATGGGATCTTACAACTAGTGGTGAAACATGCACTTTGTGTTTTACGAGTTTACGTTTGTAAAATAATTTTAAAATTTTACCGCGAATCAATGCGTCTATCTAAATTTTACAATCTCGAATATGGTATGAATGATTTTTTTTTTTTTTTGAAAAACTTTATTTATCTTTCCATAGTTATTAAACGATTGAATTGACATCATTTCTTCATACCTATGGTTTATATATATGTATGTGTATATTGCGAAAGTGAATGAGCAATTCATTGTTCACGGAGCGTTTAATTCGGATTAGCCCTATGTAATTAAGTTATTAATTAATTTATTTATTCGAAGTGTGTAAAATCGTCGCTTTATAGAATAAGGAACAAATTTTTTGAGCTAAAGTTCAAATATATTCCTTAGAAATTTCGAAATTTGAACTTTCGGATCGAATTCGTTAGTGTTACATTATATTACATTACGCCTGGATTAACTTCCTTTTGTTTTTGACTGTTTTTTAGTTGGAGTTTAATTTATTTAACAAGTAATTTTTAAATTGTTCTAAAATTCGAGAAGAATGGCGGTTACTTTGTTCTGTCATTTGGTTGATTTATTTGATTTAAGATATTATATATCAATTATTAGTATTTTATTATGTATTTGTTTACTTTTACTTTATTTGTCAAATGTAATTGTAAAGTTAATCACTTTTCCTTTCTCTAGAGATGTTTATAAAATTTTAACATTGCTCTATACTATAAAAATATTAATAGGTTTAAATTAATTTCTCTTACTATGTCTGAGAATTTGTCGATATTTTTTCTAAATTTTTCAGCTTTTACTGCATTACTTAATACAAGAATCTCAGAAAGAAGGGACTAACATTACGTTATCTTCTGACAATTATTTGAAGAGTCAAGTTAAAAATTAAAAATGGTAAAGCAAAACTATTTTTACCAAAACCAGTCGCCCGAATTTCGAGGAAAATCTTATTCACTTAGAAAGAAACATGGTCAAAGAACTCCAAACCAAAACAGAACACAGACGACATTAACTCCGAACAAGTGTTTCACAACTCCTCTGAGGCTTGGCACTTGGAGAGAAGAGTACTACAACAGGCAGCAGCAGTTATCCGGATCCAGTAGTCCTATCTATTGTGGGTCTAAATTCTCAGCTCCCCCCACAGCTGACATGTTACCTCAGCCACCAATGCATTGGATAAAAGAGGAAGACCCACCTATCATAGATAGCTCCTCTTCCTCCAAATTTGTTGAAATGACTCTATATCTGAAAGATGTACTAAAGGTTCAATAAGGAGTATAACAAAATGCACAAACATACATACACATACACAATTTTGAAATACACACACACACACATCCATCGATTAACATGTGCATCTAATTTATCTCTTCTTGTTTTACGTTTATGTATGTTCAATTGTATATACACATATATATGTATGCGTAATTATATGTCACTGTAAAAAAGAATGTGTATAAATATGCGGTTATGTGTATATATTTATACATATATTTTAATATGAGTACTTGTATATGTATGTATCTATATTTTATATGTATATTTATACACGTTTTTATTTGTATATGCATATTTATATTATGATGCAATAGCAGGAGATTTGACGGCAAGTAGTTTCATTGAGTTACAAATATATATATATATATATATATATATATATATATATATATATATCTTTAAAATATAATAAATAAATAAATATACAGACAGATAGAAACATACATACAGAAATAGATAGATATACAAACAAATAGATAGAAAGCCACACAGATTATATTTACATATGAATAAATATTTGTTGCTACTATTATTATTATCCATTAATATTTGGAGCTGTTTTTCAGTCTATGATAATTCAGCTTTAATCAATTTAATATTTATATATTATTGTTTTTGCTATTATTATTGTTATTATTATTATTACTACCCTTGTTGTTGGTATTGTCTGGTGA